AAAAAAAGGGAGAAACAGAAGAGAAGAAATAGCAGTATGACCATTCACCATGGACAGGGGGTGCTTTCTCACTTTTTCTCCCTCCCCCCCACCCCACCCCCACGTGAAAGCATACACACTCCAGCGCTAAGAGGGGGGAAAAAGAGAAAAGAACAGACTGATGAAACTGTCCAAAGAGTTTACAAACCCCATCATCACTCCTTTTAAAACATATACCAAGACCAAAAATAAATAAATAAATAAGAGGTTTTTGGCTTAGGACATACGTGCTTGATGGTGAGGGTGAAGGTGTGAGAGAGAGAGAGAGAGAAAGAAAGAGAGACAGAGAACATGAAAAATCACCCCCAGGGGGATGGCCACACTGCAATCCCATCTCCATTCTCCCGGGATCTTCGGCACGCCCGCACATATGCCCGGTATGATTTTCTTTCTTCTTTTTTAAAGAATCATTTTAACTTTATTTATTTATTTATTTGACCAGAGAGGGACAGAGTGAGAGAGAGAAAGAGGGAGAGAGAAAAAGTGAGAAAGCAAGCCACCAGGTCCACGACTTGAACTATAGTCGGCCATGTGGGAGTCTAGCGCCCTTAACCACCATGCCATCTGCCAGCCCTATCCCAACATCATTTGCAAGATACTGAGCCCAGGACTCAAACTGCAGTCAGCTATGTGAGAGTCCAGTGACATAACCACTATGCCATTTGCTGGCCCCCACCAGGACAAATTTTTTATCAATAAGCCAAATAAGCAATGATGAGTTATATATGCTTATATATAAAACATAAATAACTTAAAACATTCTTCATTAAATAAAGCATGTCTTGACAGAAATATAGGTTTGTTGTTGAAAAATCTTTGCTTGAATTTTTTTAATGGTTAAGGGTTTTTAAAATTATTATTTTATTTTATTCTGTTTGCTATTATTTTTTAATTTGACCAGAGAGAAAAAGGGAAAGCGAGAAAGCACACCGCCAAGTCTGGGACTCGAACCGTGGTCAGCCATGTGGGGGGATCCAGTGCCTTTAACCACCATGCCACCTACCAGACCTGCCTAGACTTTTTCTAAATTTGCAGAAGTTTCTTCAGTAATTCATGTATCTCCTGGGTTTACTTAGAACCTTAATAAGAGTTTATATAATTAAAATGACCAGTCATTTCTGAGAGAAAAAAATACATCTCCAATTTGTACATAGTTTCTATGAGCAGGATAGCCAAGATATTTTGAAAGTGAGGGAAAATGAGTTTCCCCAAACAAGATCTGTGAGTCTCGTCTGCTTGTGTACTTTAAAGAAAGAGAAATTAATTTCTTTTTTTTTTTTTTTTTGAGAGATTTTCATTGTAGGGCGCGTGCAATCGCCAGACAGAGAGAGACATAGAGACAGAAAGCGAGAAATCACCCCCCAGGGGGGATGGTCACGCCGCAATCCCTTCTCCTCCATTCTCCTCTCGGGATCTTGGGCACGCACACACACACACCTGGCGTGAGTTTTAAGCCACCGGGTCTGGGACACGAACCGCGGTCGACTATGTGGGAGTCCAGCGACATAGCCATTACGCTAACTGCTGGTTCCCGAGAAATTAATTTCTTAACTGAGATATTGTTTCCCTTCCTTTTACTTCACTGCAAACAAAAATGGGTGTACTGGGTTTTTCCCAGTCAGCTAAAGAGTCTTTTCTTTCAGGATCCTTCTGTTTTTCTTGTAGTAAAGGTAATTGGTATGTTCCATATCTACAAAAGTGGAAGGTAACAGATAAACTCTACCAGCCTATAACTTATAATTTGTCTATAGGAAATAATCACATGTAAACTAGACAGACTTAGAAATACCCCTTAGCCAGGGACTGGCAAGTGGTATGGTGGTTAAAGGTGCTGGACTCCCACATGGCTGACTACGGTTTGAGTCCTGAACTTGGCGGCTTGCTTTCTCGCTTTCCCTTTATTTCTCTCTCTGGTCAAATATAAAAAATAATAACAACAAGGGACTAGCAGCTAGTGTAATGGCTATGTTGCTGAACTCCCATGTAGTCAACGGCAGTTCAAGTCCTGGACCCAGTGGCGCGTGTGCCCAAGATCCCAAGAGGAGAATGGAGAAGGGATTGCGGCATGGCCATACCCCGGGGAGGTGATTTCTCGCTTTCTGTCTCTCTGTGTCTCTCTGTCTTGCTAGCAAGTGCACGAGCCCTGTAGCAAAAACCTCTCCAAAAATAATAATAATAATAACAACAAATGGAAATAAATAAATAAATCTTAAAACAAAAACAAAAAACCCTAGCTGTTACAAGTCTGTCTCACTAGTGATAAGATGTAACAATTAAAACACCCTAGGGACGAGCAGGTGGTGTGGTGGTTAGGGTCCTGAACACTCCACATGGCTGACCACGGTTCAAGTCCCAGACCTGATAGCTTGCTTTTCCATTTCCTCTCTCTCCTCCCCATCCCCCAAGTCAAATTAAAAATAAATGAATGAATAAATAAAATTAAATATATAAATGAAAAAATTTAAAAAAAATAAAATAAATTTAAAAATTATATATTTAAAAAAACTAAAAATTGGAAATGTTTATGAATTAACTGTAAATTAAGCTAAATAAGAAGGCATAACAGGATGTCATGCACATAGCCATAGCTGGGCTCTCACCTAGCCACAGCAACTACATTATCTGAAAGTCTAACAAATGCTCTGAAATGCTATGTTGTAGCAACATGTCAATCTGCCATGAAAATTTTCTTGAATCTGGAATATGCAAAAAAGTAAATTTACAAACACAACCCACGTTAGCATATCGTTTACTACATTTTAGGATATCTAAACAAACAAAAAAATCTCCCATGACAACACACTACGAATGAAAATATATGTGATATCTGCATTTGCATTTACTATCCCTTATGAACATCTTCACCCAAAGCCACTACTTTCATTTTGTAGTTCTAGGAAAGTCACCTACACTGTTAAAGTATAAGCACTGACATTTTTGGTGATATAGTTGCTGGGCACATACACTCAAGTAGACAGAGAAAGCGGGAAAAAAAGAGAGCATCCTCCAGGTAGGATGGCCATGCCAAAATCTCTTCTGTTCCATTCTCCCTTCAGGATTTTGGGCACAAATGCACACATGTCTGGAGTGTTTTTCAAACCACCAGGTCCAGGACTTGAACCACAGAGTCAGCCATGTTTGAATCCAAGGCCTTACCCACCTTGCCACCCATTGGCCCCAAGACATTTTTAAAGAACCCAGAATGAATAACAAAATTTTTTTATAAAGAAGGTTTGTACTTTAGGTTGAAAATATAAGTCAAATAGAAAAACTAAACTCAAGTAATCAATTTGAAAGATTACTTTTACTCATGAAAATTATAAAATAACTACACTTATCAGTTTAAATAAACAAAAAGCTTAGTGAAAATATCATTAGCGAGATGAAGCTCATACTCAAACCAAATTTTGACTGTGGGGAGGAGGCCAAGAAAAAAACAAAGAAACAAAAAACACTACAGGGTAAAACATTTTAGAGAACTTTAAAAAAAAAGTAACCAGAATAGCAGGTGTACAAATAGCAGTTGTATACAATAAAGACTTAAGTTTTTGGTTTGCAAATCTGATATAAAGAATTTTCTTTAAACATGAACTTTTTTTTTTAGCCCTTTCCTAATATAGTAAATTTCACTAACTCTAAATTCCCCACTTTCATCACAACCCATGTCCATCTATGTGCTCCCAGAAGCATCATGCACATTCTAGAGGCCTATATCTTTCTATAAAACTTTAAAAGCGTACCCAGAAGTCATTTCCACTTTACCTAGAACAACACTAATCTAAAAGTCATAAGACTTTCATTCATTTACCCCTATGCTCTACGCACACTTCTCATCCTCAGAAGAAAGCAAATACCACTTTACACATCAAAATGTCCCTAATGCTGCTTCCTTTACCCACAGTGTATTCACAAGGCAGACACACTGCACTAAGGATGACTCTCTTCTTAGATGTTACCTTCCCATCTTGAGAAATTAAAAGAAAAAAGGAAAAAACAAACAAAATGAAAAACAAAACCCTGAAATTAGTCACAAAATTTCTCAGATGGCCCAGGAAATATTTAGATTAATAGAGAAGTAGCCTGAACTGATTCCCTACAGTCTCAACTTTATCATGCCTCCACACTCCAAAACTAGCTGCCACCTCTGAAAAAAACATTCAGTTTTTCTACTGAATAAGTAAACTAATCTAATCCATCAAAACCTCCTCATCTCTTCCTCTAGCCGCTTTCTTTCAGGCAGAAAGTTCTAATAAAACAGGTAACTAAGCAGCAGACATGAGGAGGGAGCAAGAAATGATCCCTTCCCTTCCCTACTCTTCCTGTGCCCACTTCCCAAAAAGTGATTAAAGACATCTCTCCCCAACCTTCCAGCCTTTCCTCTGCTTCCCCAGGAGATCTGTTCCAGAATCTAGCTGTATCTCAACACACCAAATAAACATTTCACAAACCTACCTCCTTAAAATGGTTAGAAAACAAACAAAAAGTTGAAAGCTCTGTCAATCCTTTCAATTCTCCCAATATTATTTCTACAACAATCTAATACTGGCCCCAAATATTTTAAGTTTCAGTCTCTCTCACTCTTTTCAGCCTCTCAACAATACTCCTACACTTAATGACCCTCAGTTGTCCGCTCAATCTTTTCAATATTTACAAAACCATTACTCTTTTTACTACTTTTATCCCTCCAAAAGCTGTACTTAAAAATCCCTAAGTACTGTAATGTCCCCTTTTAACACCTCCACCAGTAATATTACATATCAGTGATGTCCTTTCAACCCTCAGTTAAACTTATAACAACCTTAATTTTTCCCCAGCCTCCAACAGTACCTAAAAATAATCATTCTCTTTCAACGCCTCTCTAATAAATAGCACTTTAAAACCCCTTAATAACCTTGTTATTTGTTATACTTATCAGCTACCCAATAATTTCTAAAACCCTTCAATGCCCACGTAGCTCTTACTGTAACTCCATATTTTTCAAGTCCTTCAAAATTCTTGAATCCTTAAGAGTTTACCAATAATCGCTATAAAGCTTCAATGTCCTATCCCATTCTGCCCTCCTATTTTGAAAAGGGCCTCGATACTCTGCTTCTAGACCTCTCAGTGCCGGAATAATAGCGTTTGTAAAGCCCTCGATATCCTGCTGTTCCCTTCAAGATCCCAATATTCACATTTAAAAATCTCTCGATAGCCCTGATATCCGCCTTAGTCTCTAATAGCAGCATTTAAAATTCCCTCACTATCCCTGCTACCCCTGTGGCACCCCGACATTTCTATTTTACAAGCCCTGGCTGTCCTTACCCCCTCCGGAATAATAGCGTTTGTAAAGCCCTCGATATCCTGCTGTTCCCTTCAAGATCCCAATATTCACATTTAAAAATCTCTCGATAGCCCTGATATCCGCCTTAGTCTCTAATAGCAGCATTTAAAATTCCCTCACTATCCCTGCTACCCCTGTGGCACCCCGACATTTCTATTTTACAAGCCCTGGCTGTCCTTACCCCCTCCCCGTCCCATAGCACCGCCTCTACGCCCCTAGCGCTCCTCTCCCCCTTGGCCAGCCAGGACTTGAGGGCATCCACATCCTCTATGAGCATGGTGCAGGGAAGGCGGGTTCGGCCGCCGCTCTCCTTCCGGCCTGCCGTGGGTCTCCCACTCGCCGCCTGCTCACGCTCCCTTCACAGGTCCCGGTGCCCCAGCCCACCGGGCATCTTAAGGGACTTCAACCTACTCCCCCGGCCGGGGCCTAACAGGAACTAACCTAAGAGCCCTCACTCAACCTAACCCGAAGGCTCAAGTGGGCGCGAAGGCTCAGGGGGGCGGTAGACAGCGCCGAGTGGCGGGCGTAAGAACCAATAAAGTAGAGAGGGCCATGGGCTCGGGACCAATGAAAAGGCTCGTTCGCCCCGCCGGCCAGCCGTACCCAATTAGGGAGGACGGATATAGCAAGGTAGGTAGAGAGCTTAAGTGAACTCCTGGTGCAAGATGGTATCTTGGAGAAGGTGCCGTGCCTCTTAAAGGGGCCGCGGCACCTTTTTTGACCACGCCGCCGCCAGCCGCGGAATACCGGTGTTTGCTACTGGGAGCGCCTGGGGGAAGCCGGCGAGCCCCTCACACTCGTTCCTTCCTCTCATTTTTTTCCTGGAAACACACACTGGTGTCCCGAAATGACTCAGCTGTAGTAAATTTGCAACACAACGTGCAATACGTTCGCATTCGGCATCGCACAAAATGCAAAATTTTATTTTTTTTCTTACACACTCATTTTAATCGGCACTCTTGTTTTTTGGGTTTTTTTTTCGTTTTGGGGTGTTTTTTTTGCCGCTACGCTTATATTACGCAGAACGTTTCTGACAGCCATGCCTTGGAATCCCATACTTGTCGTTTTTAAAACGTGGCGCACAGATATAAATGGCTAAGGCCATTTCAGTTTTACTAGTACTAATAAATGCTTTATTGAGGAAGAAAAACAATTCCAATAAGTCCTTCCCCCTTTTTAAATTCTCTGTTCGTTGCATAGCTAAAATTCAGTGGGTTGTTTTTGTTGTTGGTGATTTGTTTTGGCTTTTTTTTTTTTTTCAGAGAGTATTTACCCAAAAAGGTATAAAAATGATTTTAAAGAAACGTTAGAAATCACTGAAATAGGCAACTTAGTTTGTACTAGGTGAAAAATTCCTTCTGGAGTTTTGAAATCACTAGTTTAGCACTGTAGTTAGAATGTTTACCCAGTGACAAATGCTGATCCCCTGCTATGCACCAGCACCCTGTAAGGCACTAGGAGACCAGTGTTAAGTTCCTCTTAGAAAACTGAACAGTTTTGGGGGTTATGCACTGTAATAATATTTTGAAAAATACCTTATGAACATATGTAGAAGAGATGGTTCAACCCAAAACAAGCAGGTATACTTTATATACATAGAACATGAGTAAACAAATTTTTCCTGGACAGGGTCAGATAGTAAATACTTTTGGCCTTGTAGGCCTGGAGGTTTCTGCAGCAACTGCTTGCACAATGTCTTAGCATGTATATAAACAAATGATTGTGGCTATGTTCCAATAATACTTAAAAATTGTATTATATGGGGGAGAAATGTTCACATATTGAAATGTTCACTTTATTTAAATGTAATTGAATGTATAAATTTTTTTTAATTTTAAAAAATTGTATTACATTAAAATTCCATTTTTAAATAATTTTCACATCATGAAATATTATTGTTTTGGTCAACCACTGAAAACCGTAAAAGTCATTATAGCCTCACAGCTGTATAAAAACAGGTATCAATAGGGTTTGGCTTGCTGACTGCAGTTTACAGATGCTTACATAAAGTAATAAAAGCAGAAGTGTCCTTAGAAATCATCTAAGGAAACTCACCAACTCCCATTCTTCTCAAAACTTTGCAAATGAGGAAAAAAGACCAGAGACAAAGAGGCTTACCCAAAAATCACAAGTCTGTAGAAGGAGCAAAAATAACATCCAGACCTTTAGACAGCAAGTCCAGAGCTTTCTCACATCCAACTGCTGGCTCTTCTTCCTTCTCTCCTCCTTCCTTTATGCCTTAGCCACATTTTCCCCTTCACTTCTTCCCACAAAGGAGATGGATTGCTATCCCCAAATAATAGAAATTTTAAAAGAGAAATGTAAAAGTGACTTGACAACGTCTAAGTCTAGACAAGAACTCGACTAGATGATAGAAATGGAATGGAAGTTGTCTTTATCACAGTTAATCACTCCTCTGCAAGAATTTCAATGTACTTTTCTTTTCTTAAAGAATCATGTCTTTTATTTTATTTATTTATTTATTTTAATATGACCAGAGAGAGAGAGAAAGGGACACAGGAGTTAGAAAGCAAGCTGCTAGGTCCAGGACGTGAACCACACTCAGCCATGTGGGAGTCCAGCACCTTAACTACCATGCCACCTGCCAGCCCTTCAATGTACTTTTCAAATGTATTTCTAGAACAAATTTGGCAGCCTTATTTGAGAAGTGCAGGTGCTGAGATATCAGCCCTAGTGACCAAGGGCATCATTTAAACAACTACATTACAAAGAGTAGACATGCTTACACATCTGTGAGATTTGGGTTTGGAGACCATGGGTAATTTTTTTCTTTTTTCTTTATTTTCCAAACTGCAATGTTATTATATTACTTTTCTGAGTTGAATACATTATATATTAAATACATTAAGGCCACTGCTTTGAATGTATACTTATTGAACCCCAAATTGTAACTTGAAGAAGTAGCCCCTGTAGAGGTTGATTTTCCCTAAGTGGAAATGGGCTACAATGTAATCAATCCTTCCTCCATACCTAGTTCACTCCATTTGTTAAATGGAATTCAGATTTGTTCTGTAGCCATGGGTCAGAAATTTTTCTTTTGACTCATGTGCAGTTCATGAATGGAGCACTGAGTTCAGCCTTACAGTTACTGGGTTACTCTGGATGCAATTCCTATATACATGTATTAATTCAACATATTCCAAGAGCTGGTTACCAAGTGCCAAAATCTGTGCAGGAGCAGAGACAGTTTAATGCGAAGTCTATTTGGAGCTCAGATTCTGTTGCCTTAACAGGTACTGGAAATAATCATAGCTAAAGTTGTTGAGCACATCCTTAGTGAGTGCCCACCCTATGCTAAGAATGTCAGTGCATTGTCAACTCTCGTCCTCATGCAAGCTGTAAATGGCAGACACTATTCACAAATAAGAAAATTGCATCCCAGAAAAGTTGTGAAGCTATTGAGTGAAAGGGTCCATCCTTGACCATTCTGTTTGACTCCAAAGCCCACACTGTTAACCTTCACCAAACTATCTCATTGATAAACACTGAAATATTAATTATGTGGTTCATTCAAAATGTATTCAACAGGGGCCAGCAGGTGGCATGGTGGTTAAGGTGCTGGACTCCCAAATGACTGACCATGGTTCTAGTCCCAGACCTGGTGGCTTGCTTTCTCACTTTCCCTCTCTTTCTCTGTCTTTCTCTGGGGAGTGCATGTGCCCGATAGCAAATTAAAAATAATGATAGTAATAATAAATACAATTAAATAATTCTTTTTAAAATTTTTTAAAAAATTTATTCATTCATTTATTTTAATTTGACCAGAGCAAGACAGAGAGAGAGGGAGAGAATGTGGGAAAGCAAGCCACCAGGTCCAGGACTTGAACTGTGGTCGGCCATGTGGGAGTGTCCAGCACATTAACCACCACGCCATCTGCTGGTCCCCTAATTAAATAATTATTTAAAAAAACAAAATTTATTCAACAAATTAAGCCCATTGCCACCATTAGTCACTCACTGTTCTTAAATAATAGAGAGTAAGAGTGATTTTAAATAAATTTCCTTGGGACCAGCAGTTAGCATAATGGCTATGTCGCTGGACTCCCATGTAGTCGACCGCGGTTCGCGTCCCAGACCCGGTGGCTTAAAACTCATGCCGGGCGCGTGTGCGTGCGTGCCCGAGATCCCGAGAGGAGAATGGAGGAGAAGGGATTGCGGCGTGGCCATTCACCCTGGGGGTGATTTCTCGCTTTCTTTCTGTCTCTCTCTGTCTGTCTGGCGAGCGCGCGCGCCCTATAGCAAAAACCTTTCCAAAAAAATAAATAAATAAAATAAAATAAATTTCCTTTCATTAGTTAAGACAGATGTTCGGACCAGCAGTTGGTGTAATGGCTATGTCACTGGACTCACATGTAGTTGACTACAGCTCCAGTCCTGGACCCAGTGGCTTAAACTCATGCTGGGTGCGTGTGCATGCATACCCAAGATCCAGAAAGGAGAATGGAGGAGAAGGGATT